TGTAACCGACCATCTGGAAGTGACGCTTCTCAGAAACCTGCTGATCCAAGATGTATTAAGCCTTTCAATGCACTTAATCAGATACTCGTGATTAACTGAATCAAACGCTTCTTTCATGTCATACCACGTAGTAAAAAGCTGATTCTCGTGCTCTTTGCAAACCGCCAGGTTGAACAGTACCTGTTCTTTCGATCCTCAACCTGAGTAACAGTTCCTAATTGATTGTCTACAAGTAGCTTTCTCATTGCAACTAATTGCTTGACGAGTGCCACACATTTCGTTGTTAACTTGTAGAGATTCGACATACAAGTTACTGGCCTGAAGTTGCTGCCTTTACTTGGGACACCTTTTGGAATCAGGTAGGTAGTACCTTTATAGAACCACGGATTCTGTCCCTCTTCATCCAGACAAATCCGTCTTACTATTTCGTACAGGTCTGCATGCAAGGAGGTACACTTCTTAATAAAGAAGTTATACTCCATCAGGCTTTGCTGCTTTCCAATTAGGCAAATAGAAAACTATCTTCGAAATTCGGCTTCAGAGGGAAAAGTATGATGCACTTCATCATCTGGAACGAATTCTTCCATTACTCGTTGTGCTGGATATCACCATACTTTCCCATTCCGAAGTTCCAGATCGTACCCCGACAATCCCTGATTTCCTCAGTCCTTAGACTCGTATAGCATATTTTCCTCGAAGTGCGTATTTTGTGAATTGACACGTTTCGTGGACTCCTCAAGAACCGTTTCTGTTAGCACGGGCGACCTGCAATACTGTTGATCACGGAATTCGCTTCCTTCTTCAGTTCTTGGAGGATAATAGCACACGAAAACTTCTCGCGCTATACAGAGACCGACAATGGCTATCCTCCTCTTGGCATTGCTCCAAATTGGTCAAGAACCCTTTCAACACCTCTCCTGGCCACTTGCTTCGTAGGGTTTCGATTCCACGGACGATTGCTTCAATCGCGATCATTCTGCTGGCACCGAATTCCGGTACACTGGCAGTATGTTCTTTTACACCTTCAGTAGGATGTAGAGAATTCAGTAGTATATATGCACTTTCCTTTCTTATTCAAAAATTTATTAAAATGAGGCATAAAAGCAATGACTCCAGTTTGTTTTGGCTTCATTTGAAATCAACGTAGTCTAGTTGGGG